TCCTCACACTTGCCCCATTCTGTCCCAGCACCCCCAGCCTGTGCCACCCTTCACTCTCAGCACCCATTGCACCCATTCCCATTGCCCCAGTGCCCCCATTGCCCTGGGGGGCCATGGTGGGGTGCCGGGACCCACAGGGGGTCTGGGACCCAGGTCAAGGCTCCGGGTGCTCAGCCCCTTCCCTTCTTCTTTCAGGCGCAGAGCTGCTCAAATGAGAAGTGGGTGAGTGAGAAGGGGGTGGCAGCGGGGGGGACGACCCTGAACCCTTCCCACATCCCAGCCCAGGACACACCATGACACTTGCACAGTGTCCCCTGCATCCCCAGCACCACCCACCCCATCCCCAGAGCACCCCATGGTCAGCACCCACCCCCCGGTGGATCCACCCCACATGCTGGATCCCCAGGGAATACTGCAGGAGGATTTCCAGTGCCCGATGGAAAGCTCAAAGGTGGAACATTGCAAGGGTTGAACCTGCTTGTATCATGTGGGAAAAGGTTCTTAGCCCAGGGGGACTGCACTGGGTTGCTCTGGCCATGTTTGGGGACCACCACTGGGTCCTCCAAAGGCTTGGGGCTGGACTCATAATCCATAAGGAAGAGGCTGGAAGAGAGGAACTGGGCTGGAAGGATGGAGCTGACCCAGGCTCGGTCTCCTCCACACCAGGGCAGGTGAGCTCCTGCCGATGGTGCTTTCATAAAACCCTCTACTTGAGGTGAAATTTGGCTTTTGGCTTCAGGGCACATTGGCCTGGTGGGATCTGAGAGTGGAGCCAAGTATGGGTGCTCAGGACACCATTCCCAGGACCCCGTGTCAATCCTGGGGATAGTGCTGCAGCAGAAGAGATTACACCTTTTCATAACCCATCCATCATCCATCAACCATCCATCCATCATCCCTCCATGCATCCACCCACCCACCCATCCATCCGTTCATCAACCATCCCTCCATCCATCCGTCCATCAACCATCCCTCCCTCCCTCCCTCCCTCCATCCCTCCATCCATCCCTCCATCCACCCCCTTGTCCAGCTGTCCCTGACCTGGGGTTTCATGGGAGAGTCGCAGTCCCCAAGCTCCGGGTAACCCCCAGTCCCCTCACAGGCACCACCATGTTCCTGAATAAGTGCGAGGGGGACTCCGAGGCTGCCCCCCCGGCTGCCGCCGCTGCCGAGGAGGAGGAGGAGCAGCCCAAGAAGAAGCACCGGCGGAACCGCACCACCTTCACCACGTACCAGCTCCACGAGCTGGAGCGCGCCTTCGAGAAGTCCCACTACCCCGACGTGTACAGCCGCGAGGAGCTCGCCATGAAGGTCAACCTGCCCGAGGTCCGCGTGCAGGTAGGGCCAGGGGCACCCCAGGGGAGGCAGGGAGCACCCAGCACTGCAGAGCTTCGCTCTGAGCCCAGCTCCGTGCTTCAGTTTCCCCATTGCACAAGGGCAAGGGTGGCTCCTCTGCAGGCCTGGCTGCTCCTGCCCAGAAAAGGGGCTCGATGGCTGAGCCTGGCTCTCCAGCCCGAGTGCCAGAGGCTCTGTTCGGGGAGGGAGATGGGGTTTAGACCCCATTTTCCTTTGCTGGTGGTGGCTGCTCCCATCCCTGCAGCTGATCCAACAGAAAAGCAACCAAACAACTGCTCATGGCCACTTCTACTGGGAAAGCAGAAGCTCCTGATGGATTTGAGGGGTTTGGGGTTGTCAGAGCAGGGTGGCTCCAGGAGGGCTCAGGAAGTTTTGCTCCCTGAGGAAGAGCCTGGGGTCCCACCAGGATGCTCCCAATTGTCCCTGGGTTAAGGTCCCCCCTGAGCCTTCTCTTCTCCAGACTGAACCCCCCAGGTCCCTCAGCCATTCCCCATTACACTTGTGCTCCAGGCCCTGCACCAGCTCCGGTGCCCTTCTCTGGACAAACTCTGGCAAGTTTGCACCAGCACAGCCCAGTGTCCACCAGCAACTGTGACCGGTCCCTGGAGCTCCCCTGCTCTGCTCCCCCATCACAGTTTGGCTTCTAGAAGCTTTTGCCCGGGGGCTTCTGAAGGCCAGATGACATTAGACTGACTGACCGGTACCCAGTATGGGCACCCCAGAGTGGCCACTCCACCTGGAACATTCCATGAGGGACACACCATATGGGATACAGCCCCGTGGTGCACGGTGGGGCTCACCCTGGCTCTCACCTCACAGGTTTGGTTCCAGAACCGACGAGCCAAGTGGAGGCGGCAGGAGAAGATGGAGGCCAACTCCATGAAGCTCCACGACACCCCCATGCTCTCCTTCAACCGGCCCCCCATGACCCCCAACGTGGGGCCCATGAGCAACTCCCTCCCGCTGGACCCATGGCTGACGTCCCCCATCTCCAGTGCCACCACGGTCCACAGCATCCCCGGCTTCATGGGAGCCCCCCAGGCCCTGCAGCCCCCCTATGGGGGTCACTCCTTCCTCAGCACTCCGCCGCCCATGGCGCAGGGCATGCAGCCCATGGCCCCCGCGCCCTACCAGTGCGGCACCACCTTTGTGGACAAGTACCCGCTGGAGGAGGTGGACCAGAGGAGCTCCAGCATCGCCTCACTCCGCATGAAAGCCAAGGAGCACATTCAGACCATTGACAAGACATGGCAGCCCATTTGATGAATGCTCCCCTCCGGCTCCTCATCCTCACCCCGGCACCGGCTCAGCCCCCGGGCAGGCGAGGGGGGTGATAGTGGGACCATTGGGATCAGCAGGACCAGCACAGGACAGGGATGCTGGGCTGCATCTCCCCCTGCTGAGCCAGCACTGCTACTGCCAGGGGAGCAAGCGGGGCGCTGGTGGGACCCCGCGGTTTGGGGGCACCCTGGCAGCCTTGCCAAGGCATTGACCTGGCCTGAGGATATGGCCAAGTCTCGGGGGTCCCAGCTGGACATCTCCTTGTCCCACCCTTTCCCCTTCTTATTATTAACATTTTTTTAACGCTGCAGATTTGAACAAAACAGACACAAAGCTCCAGGTTTAGGGAGTATTTGGGGGGATTCTTTTTTAGCCGCATCGGGGACGATGCTCGGTGTACTGGTAGATGAGGAGATGGCTGTATCCTGAGTAAAGAGAGAAACTTAACGGCAGCCGCATTGGCTGTGCTGCTCATTAGTGTGCTGAGAGCTCCGGGGGGGGGCATGCGGGAGCATCACCCAGGACACCCCCTCCCCTCGCCCTTGGGTTGGGCTCGGATACAGGCACCAGTGACTTGCTCTGGGCTGTGGCTGTGTTCTCAGCAGCTCATCAAGGGGCATCTGCTCATCCCCCCTTGGTCCAACTGCCCCCATTGCTCCCCTGTGGAACTCACCTGGCCACATGCTGGTATCACAAAGCCACCCCATGGCACTGGGTGGCAGCGGGACCTCAGCTTGGTGACAGGGCCAGGAGCCCTGGGAACCTCACGGCACCTGTGGGAGGGTGACAAGGTGTCCCGGGGGTTCCCAGCATGGCTCTGCAGCCCCAGGGGACCCAGCTGCCTGGCACCAGGGCTCAGTGACACCATCATAGAGGGGCCTGCAGAGGAGACCTTCCCCTTGAACAGAGATGGATGAACCTGCAGTGGCTTTGGGGTGCTGAAGCATGGATGGCTGGTGGGCTGGGGGCTCAGCCCCGGGCCAGTGGGAGCCCCAGGTCCCTGGGGATCCCTAGGGAAGAGGAGCGGGCTCCAAGTGATCTTCCTCCCACCAACACAAGAAGTTTCCTGAACCCAGGGTGTTGCTGGGACCGGATGTGGGGATGCTGCCCCATCCCCACCGTGGCCCCACCACCCCAGGGGGTCTCCCCCGCACCAGACCCCATCCAGTGTGCCCAGGGTCAGGCTGGGATGCCACCGGGCCAGCCGAGGCGCTGACCCCAGCGAGACCCTGCTCCTTGTGTGCCCCCCGTCCCCCGGCTGCTGCTGCCCGGCTGCTTCGTTAGTAACAATTAAACCTCCAACGAGCCATTAAACGCATAATCGATGTTCCCCCGGCTCCGCAGCCCAGCTAATGGGGCAGGGCCGGGGCAAAGCAGCCGCGCTGCGGCGGGGACATAATGAACTAAGGGCAGTGGAAGTAATGGGGTTTGATCCGAGGGAAGGGACGCGCTCAATGGGGCTGCACGTTTCACATGACATCAGTGCCGAGGCTGGCGCCAGCGCGGGGCTCCCCCCGGCTCCCCAGCGCCAACAAAAGCCGTGAGCGCGGCGGCTCAGCGGCCCCCACCCGGCCAAGGGGGCACTGATGGGGCTGAGGCTGCTCCTGCCCCACTTCCCCCACTGGCCACTGCCACCCAAAAGCGTCTCCCTGGCTTGGGATGCGGTGGGCGTGCAGTGGGGCAAGGGCAGCATGGCACCCACGGGGGGGTCCCTAATGGGGGGGGTGACCTTCCCTCCCGAGGGCATTTAATGCAGAAACAGGCAAGAGTTGTGGTCTAAACCGATGCCATTTCACTGCAGGACAGAGCCCAGAGCCCCCATCCTCCCCTCTTTACTGGTGCTTTCCCCACTTGAGATCCAGTTTGGGGAAAACCCAAGCAAAAAGGCATTTTTCACCCCCCTCCGAGATCCCAATCCCATCTGAAATCACTGACTGCCCCCTCCCGCACCAGAGCTTGTACTGGGAGGACTGGGGCATTCCCCCAGGCCCTCGTGGCAGAGCAGGAGCCCTCCCACTCCCACCCTCTCTAATCCCCTCCTGCAGGATTTGCCCCTTAATCTGCTTATTTCTCTCTATTTCTTCGAGACCTGGATGAAGCCAACCCTGCTCCAGTACTGAGCTGTGGGCTCTGGGCACCATGCCCCTGCGCACATGGGGCTGGCACTGCCCAGGGACATGGCTGAGGGTGCTGCAGGACCTGCAGCCCTGACATGGTTGAGCGGTGACCGTCGGCTGCAGAGGGGATGAGGCAGCAAACTGAGCACCCAGAGCTCCATAGGGCTGCTCACAGGTCCCGGCACCCATGGGTGGAATGAGACAAGTGGACATGAGGAAGACACAGGGTATTCCCTCAACCTATGGAGCCAGGCTGAGAGCTGGCCTGGGGCAGCCTGGAGAAGAGAAGGCTCCTTAAGGAGAGACCTTAGAGCAGCTCCAGTGCCTAAAGGAAACCTGGAGAGGGGCTTTGGACAAGGGCCTGTAGGGACAGGCCAAGGGGAATGGCTTTAACCTGCCCCAGGGGAGACGGAGATAACTCTTAGGCAGAAGCTCTTCCCTGTGAGGGTGCTGAGGCGCTGGCACAGGGTGCCCAGAGAAGCTGTGGCTGCCCCATCCCTGGCAGTGCTCAAGGCCAGGTTGGACACAGGGGCTTGGAGCAACCTGCTCCAGTGGAAGGGGTCCCTGCCCGTGGCAGGGGTTGGGGCTGGAGGAGCTTTAAGGTCCCTTCCAACCCAAACCATTCCATAATACAACTCCTCCATGGGCACCGTAACCCCAGAAGGTCCAAAGCTGGGGTGCAACATGGCAGTCAATGTCCTGCGGGAGCCACCCCATTCCTGATGGGAACGAGTGGTGCCCCACAGGTTCCAGTCTGGGGACCCTCTCTCGGGGCCCACCTGCACGGAGGCTGCTCCTCTCCACCTGGACGCACACCCACTGGGAGAAGGTGAAGGCATTCCCACGGTTCACACGGCAGATGAACCACTCAGAACGGCCCCGCAGTGCAGCCGTGTCCATCACCAGTTCTGGGGACGTGGCTCCAGGCACCTACAGGACAGGAGGTGACCAGGACTGGGGTCTCTCTGACCCATCCTGCACCATGGCCGGGGCAGGCGCTCACCTCCTGCCTCCCGCAGAACCACTGGTACGTGAGCCCCGGTGAGCCGGCGGCCCGGCAGCTCAGGGACACATGTGTCCCCTCTGCCACCACCTGCGACTCCGGCTGCTCCACAATGCAGATTGTATCCTGGACTGGGAGAGGAGAGAGCAGCCTGGGCTGGCTGAGACCCCCCCTGCGCCAGCTTGTGAGGTCCTGTCCCATCCCAGCCCACCATAGCCTGTCCTCTTCCATCTCACCCCATCCAACTGCACCCTGTCCCATCCTACCCCTCAGTCCTGTCCCAGCCTCCTCATCTCTACCTGTCTCACCCAGTGCCACCCACCCCACCTTATCCTGTTCCATCCCATCCCACTCTGCTCTGCTCCACCCATCTTGTCACACTGTACCCTGTCTTATCCCATTCTGTTCCGCCCCTTCTCTTCCCACTCCATCCCACCCCATCCCTTCTTGTCCTGTCACAGCATGATCCCCGATCCCATCCTATCTCACCCTACTGCATCCATGCATCCTATCCCTTCTTCTCCCATCATGTCCCATTACTCCTCCCATCCCATCCCATCCCACCCTGTCTCACCCTACTGCACCCATCACAGGCCACCCCGCCCTGGGTGCTGCTGTCCAGAGCAAGCCCACCAGCAGGAAGCACTCATCTCCCCCTGCTTTCCCCCTGCTGGTGCCCCCTCCAGGCCCCGTGGGGCCCCGGTGCCCGTCCCTACCGGCACTGCTGAGGACGTGGCAGGCCTGCATGTGCCCCATCCTCTCCAGGCAGCCCAGCAGGTCCTGCAGGGTGCAGTTGCGCTCAGCCAGGAGCTGCAGGAGGCTCTGTGCGGGGCTGCCATGGGGCTCCAGCACCTTCAGCGAGCACATCTCCAGCTCCTCCTCGCTGCAAGGTACCTGCAGTGCTCAGCACCGCAGCCCAGCTCCCCCCGCCCAGGCTGTGGCCGCCATGGGGCCAGTGAGGGCCTGGCTCAGCCCACGGTGCTGCCGCCTGGGGACATCCCCTCTGCCCCTACCTGAACCTGAAGCGTTTCTCCACCGCCGCCACCTCAGCCAACCTGCGCCAGCCGCAGCCAGTGATGTCCAGGAGCTGGCAGAGTCGGGCCAGCACCTCCCCACCCAGCGAGCTGATGGGCGAGCTCCAGTCCCCCATCGCACCCAGCCCCTGCAGAGGGACCACAGTGACCACTGGTGATGGGGGAGAATGAGTGCCTGTGCCCCTCGAGACACCACCACAGTGCGTGTGGGTCTGGAGGGAGAGCACCGGCACAGGCGGGTATCCAGTCACCCGCCTGCAGGAGCCTCTCCAGGGAGGAGCTGGGATCTGGAGCCAGGAACTGAACACAGAGGAGCTCCCCTGGGACCAACCCTGACCCTGCAGGGGACAGAGAACAGGGGCCACCACAGAGGGCAGCGGCAGGGACCCCGTGAGGCATCAGCAGCCCCCTCAGCACCACCAGGCCCCTGGGGGGGGGCTCCAGAGCCAGCCTGAGCCCTGCTGGGCCACCACGAGGAGCATGGGAGGTTAGGGGAGGGTACAGGGGGGTGGCGGGAAGCACCTCGGGTCCCCTTAACCCTTGCAAAGGCTTTGGCAGTGAGGTGAGCATGGCACAAAGCAGGGGCAGCGCCCAGGGACCAGCGCCCTCCTCCTCCCCCCAACCCAGGCAGAACAAGGCACCCACAGGGGCTGGGTGCCACCAGGGGCTCCCAGGCAGAGACCAGGCCTTGGTGTCCCCAACACTGCCCCGCGGGTAGAGCACGGCACTCACCGCTGGACACAGCCCCAGCCCCAGCAGCTCCCAGCGCTGAGCCCACACAGAGGAAACGAGGGTTCAACCCCTCCAGCCCCCCCGCGCTGGGGCAGCAGCACTTCTGCTTCCTCCTGTGCCCCGGGAGCAAGACGCAGCCCCAGCACCGGCTCAGCCCTTCCCGCAGCAGCACCAGGGTTGAGGGAACCTCTGGAGATCACCCAGTGCAAGCCCTGCCAGGGCAGGGCCCCCCAAGCAGCTCACACAGGAATTCTGGCCATGGCTCCTCATCCCGTCGCTGGGCACCACCGAGAAGAGTTAGGCCCCATTCACCTGGCACCCACCTTTGAGCTATTGATCTGCATTGATGAGATCCCCTCCCAGCCTGCTCTTCTCTGACCAACGAGGCCAAGCTCCCGCATTCTCTCCTCATGTGAGATGCTCCAGACCCCTGAGCATCCCTGTGGCCTCTGCTGGATCCTCTCCAGCTCCTTGTCTCTCATCCCAGGGAGCACAGCCCTGGACACAGTTCTCCAGATGTGCCCTCACCAGGGTTAGTAGAGGAGGAATCGCCTCCCTTGACCTGCTGCCACACTCCTCCCAGGGCACCCCAGGATACTCTTGTCCCTCCTGGCCATAAGCTCACGACTGGCTCATGGTCAACTTATCACCCACCAGCACTCCCAGGTCCTTCTCAGCTGAACTGTTCTCTAGTAGCTGGGAGGACCTTGAAGGTGGCTGCTTTGTCCCCACAGCCCAACTTGAGGCCAGGCAGAAGCTGCTGGGCAGCGAGTCTAGGTCAGAGACAACCCAAGGTGACACCATGCTACCAGCAAAGCCAGTCCCCACCCCAAACTCACCCCATACGCCAGCGCAGGATCCTTCCAGAGCAGGACCCTTCTACCAGCAAAAAACCCAGCTTCTGTTTCACCAAATACACCAAAAATGCGTGGCTTGTGTTGCCTCAGCCCCTCACAGCTCTCCGGCATGAGGCGGGACCTGCGCTGAGCTTGCAGGTGACCTGGACTGGCCACTGCCCCATCACAGGCACCAGTCTCACCAGAGGTTTATTACTCATTTACAGCAAGAAGAGCAGCCCAAGAACAGAAGCTGGGCTCAGGGCAGCCCTGGGCACCTACAACTTCTTGCCCTTCTTCAGCTTGTTGCGCTGCCACGTGTTGTACCTCCGCAGGCGCCTCCAGTACTCGATGGAGTTGGGATCCAGCTCCTCCAGCTTCTTGGGAGGCCCGAGGTGGATCTTAAAGAGCCTGTGAGCAAACACAGAGGATGAGGCTAAAGAAGGGAGGGAAAATGGACAGGCAGGGGACGGCGCGACCGAAGTGTGTGACTGGGACACGTGGATCCACACCCTCCACAGGCACAGTGCCCCCGGCTCCAGCCCTCAGCAGGGCCTCTGGGCTCTGGAGCAGCAGCTTTCCTTCTCCCAGAGCAGCTCCGTGTCCGTCACACCTGTCTGTGCCTCTGGGATGCACCTCCGTAAGGACACAGCAAGGGGCGCAGGCAGCACCTACCAGTCCGGGTACTCAGAGTCGGGCTTCAGGGCCACCTCGGGGCCATCCTTGAAGTAATTGACGCCCATGGCGTAGGCGCTGAGCATGGCGGGGTCAGTGCACACCTCCGGCGGCTTCAGCCCCTCCTTCGGCACGCTCTTGCCCTTCACCTTCACAGCTGCGGGACAAGGGCAGGGTCAGAGCGGGGAGAGGGGGAGCGGGAGCAGGAGCTCAGTCTGGGCAAGGGACGGGGCGAGAGCCGGGCCCCGGCGGGGGCAGCAGCACCGGGGCAGGAAGGAGAGACCGGGGACGGGAGGCACAGGGCAGAGGAGAGAGCTGGGGCCGGGCGAAGGGGACCGGGGAAGGGCCGGGGAGGAAGGGCCGGGGCTCACCCGGTTTCTTGGCGTAGCCACGGGCCGGGCCGGGGAACGCCGCCCGCAGCAGCAGCGCCCGGGCCGCCATCTTGGGGCGCGCGCGGCCCCCGGAACAGCGATAGGCTGAGCCCGGGGAAGGGGCGGGGCCCACCGGGAGGGGTGGGGCAGCGCATGCGCAGCGAGCCCGGCAGCGAGGTCCGGCCGTGCCCCGCCCCGCCCCGCGCCGTGGACCCCGCCGGTTCCCCGCGGGCTGCCGGGAGCGCTGCGGCTCCGGAGCCGCCGGCCATGGACGCGGAGGAGGAGCCCGCAGCGCGGCCCAGCGGCCTGGAGCGGAGCGCGGGGAGCGGGCGGCCGGAGCTGCCGCCCTTCGCCTTCCCGCCCCCTGGCTGCGGCTCCAGGCAGGACCTGCCCGGCCCCGGGAGCCGGCGGGGACCCGTCCCGGGCCCTCCCGCGGTCTCTGGGAGCGGACGCGGCCTGGGAGGGCCCATGGACGAGGAGGGAGCGAGCGCGGGGCCGCGGGGCCCCGGGAGCTGGGAACCGGGTGCTGGGAGCGCCCTCGCGGCCCCTGGCAGCAGCGACTCTGCGGGCATGGAGCTGGACGAGGCTGCGGAGGACGAAGTCCCGGAGCTGCGAGCTCTGCTGGGGCAGCTCGAGAGCCTCGACCCCAGCCTCTGCGACCCCCCTTGCTCCGAGCAGAGCCCGGGCGCTGCCACCGCTTCTTCGGCGGGGAGCCGGGCCAGGCGGTGCCGGGGCCGGTGCCTGCCGTGCCCGCTGCACGTGGCCACGGGCCGGGGCCTGGACACCCGGCGCTGCTGCGCCCAGCAGTCGGCCTGCTCCCGGCCCTGCCACGGGCTGCTGTTCGCCGAGGCCGAGCGGGAGGACTTGCTGAGCCTCCTGTGCCACGAGGGGGGCCTGCCCGAGCCCGGCGCCGGGACCCCCTTGGCTTGCTCCAGTGTCTTGTGTGGGGCCAGCCTGGAAGTGCTTCGGGCTCAGGAGGAGCCGGCTGCTGCGGGGAGCCCGGAGGAAGGAGCCTGCGGCAGCGGGCGCTGTGCAGAGGAGCTGAGCGAGCTCGGCTCCAGCAGTGAGAGCCCCCGGGACTGCTCCCCAGAGCCAGCCTGGGTGTCCTTGTCACCCGCCCCGGAGAAGGAGCAGGCGCCGCCGGGCGCTGTCACCGTGAGTGCCCCGGGGCTCTGGTGGGGGCGGAGGGGAGCCAGGGGTGGCTTCTCCTCGGGTGCCCGGATCTGACCCTCGGGACTGGCTTTGGCTGCCTGAGCGCAGGGGCTGCTCGCACGGCTGAGCCCCGGGATCCCGGCCGCAGCCTCACCTGCTTTGCTGTTGCTTTGCAGAGCAGGGAACCTCCATCCTCCCACCCGGCCTTCAAAGAGGGTGAGTCCTGACCCACCACCTCCTCCTCAGACCCGGGCTAAAGGACATGGAGGGAGCACCCAGCTCTGCGCCCATAGAGGATGGGAACGTGGCTGCAGACTCCAGGGAGCTCTTTCAGTCCCTCACTGAGCAAATGGGGGTGCTCCAGGGATTGGGGAGGGGGCAATGGGTGGGTTTCAGGCTCGGGAAGGGAGAAAGAAGAATTCCAGAAGGAAGCAGCCCTGGGGCAGAGTTGGTTTAACCGATGGTGCCAGGGGCTGTCTGCCAGGTGCCATGTGTAGGAACACAGTTAACGGGCAGCAGGACTTGGTACCTCTGGGGTGGGGGGGACCAGCCCCTGCTTAGTCCCTCCGGATACCTCAGTTCCAGGCCCCTGTGAGCCGGAGGATCTGCTGGACGGTGTGATTTTTGGAGCCAAGTACCTGGGCTCCACGCAACTGATCTCTGAGCGGAATCCCCCGACCAGTGTCCGCATGGCACAGGCCCAGGAGGCAGTGGACAGGATCAAGGTGCACGAAGGGAAGGGGCACAACTGTCATGAGCCTGGTGCCCCATGGGTGTGGGGCGCCGCTGGGGACCTGCGCAGGGACCTCCTGGCTGTGGGGCAGGCCCCCCCCCGGCAGCAGCAGCAGTGACCCGGGTGCTTTGTCCTCCAGGCCCCGGAGGGGGAGTCGCAGCCCATGACAGAGGTGGAGTTGTTTGTCTCCACGCAGAGGATCAAGGTGCTCACGGCTGACACACAGGTGAGCAGGGAGCATCCACATGGATGTGGGGCTCTCCATGGTCAGCTCACACAGACGGGAGGTGTCCCTCAGCTCTCTGTGTGCTCACATGAAGCTTCTCATGTAAACTGCACCTCCTGGGAGCCACTGGGTTCCCAGCTTGAGCGGGGCGAGCCCCTGATGAAGGAGCTGTTTGTCCCTTGAGGCATAGAGCTGGTTTCTGCCCCTTACAGGAGGCCATGATGGATCACTCCCTGCAGACCATCTCCTACATCGCCGACATCGGCTCCCTCGTGGTGCTCATGGCACGGCGGAAGCTGCCACGGCAGGCGCCGGGTGCGGGGGAGAAGCGGCTCTACACCATGATCTGCCACGTCTTCCACTCAGCCAATGTGAGGAGGGAGAGGCACTTGGGAGGGTTACACCGGGAGCCTGGGCCTCATCCTGCTCTAATGTGACCAAGCGCTCTGGGTCTCCATGCTGGGGGCTTGCAGTGGGCACAGGGAGGGGGAAGGAGCCCACCTGAGCACCTCAGGTGCTGAGGCGCTGGCACAGGGTGCCCAGAGAAGCTGTGGCTGCCCCATCCCTGGCAGTGTTCAAGGCCAGGTTGGACACAGGGGCTTGGAGCAAGCTGCTCCAGTGGAAGGGGTCCCTGCCTGTGGCACGGGTTGGGGCTGCAGGAGCTTTAAGGTCCTTTCCAATCCAAACCAGGCTGGGATTCTATGATCTATGACATGGAAGAGTCCAGTGACAAAACTGGCATCATGCTGGGGCCCACGCCTTCAGGCGTGGAAGGATTGAGGATGCCTTGGAGTTCTCAGCCACAGTGTTGGCCACTGCAGGGTGCTGGCAGCTGCTGGCCAAGAGCTATGGGGACAAACAACTCCTTTCTCTTTCCTTAGGCCCAGGTCATTGCTCAGGCCATTGGGCAGGCATTCGGAGTCGCCTACCAGCGCTTCCTGGAGGCCAACAGCATCGACCCAGGCGAGCTGAGCCCTCGCCAGTACAGCCATACCCTGGAAGAGCAGGAGCAATACAATGCAGAGCTGAGCCACTTCTCCCAGCAGGAGAACTGCAAGGACGTAAGAGCTGCTTTGGAGGGGTGGAACAGTGTGGTCACCCCCTCCGTGGCTCCCCAGGACACCCATGCTGGCACATGCACCCTGTGACTGGTGGTCATAATCCATGCGTGCCACCCCTCTGCAGGTCTGCATCCGGAAGCAGAAGGGGGAGATTCTAGGCATTGCCATCGTGGAGTCGGGATGGGGCTCCATCCTGCCCACGGTGGTCATCGCCAACCTGATGCATGGGGGCCCTGCAGAGAGGTCGGGTGAGCTGAGCATCGGGGACCGCCTCATGTGCATCAACGGGATGAGCCTGGTGGGGCTGCCCCTCGCCACATGCCAGAGCATCATCCGGGTGAGCCTCCTCCAACCCAGCAGGACCAGTGCTGGCAGGGATGAGCGGCAGCCCCACTGCTTCTGAATGTGCCCGAGAGTGTCTGTAACACCGGGGTGTACCCCCCGATGCTCTGGCTGGGGGGGGGGGTAGGTGAGAGGAGGCTGTGGGGCAGAGCAGGAAGGAGCGTGGGACCCATTCTCATCCTAGTTCCTGCTCTTGAGTGCTTGGGAGGAAAGGATGTGACAAGGCAGGGGCAAAGCTGGGGACAAAACTTGCTGTGTCAGCGTTCAAGTGCCTGAGGAGGGTGGGTGAGGAGGCAGGTTCCTGAGCTGGAGGGAACAGGGAGTCCAGAGAGGCCATGGAGGTGCTGTGAGGGCTGAAGCAGCTCTGCTCTGGAGCCAGGCTGAGAGAGCTGGGCTAGGTCAGCCTGGAGAAGAGAAGGCTCCTGAAGGGGAGACCTGAGAGCAGCTCCAGTGCCTGAAGGGGCTGCAGGAAACCTGGAGAGGGGCTTGGGACAAGGGCCTGTAGGGACAGGCCAAGGGGAATGGCTTGAACCTGCCTGAGGGGAGACTGAGATGAGCTCTTAGGCAGAAGCTCTTCCCTGTGAGGGTGCTGAGGCGCTGGCACAGGGTGCCCAGAGAAGCTGTGGCTGCCCCATCCCTGGCAGTGTTCAAGGCCAGGTTGGACACAGGGGCTTGGAGCAAGCTGCCCTAGTGGAAGGTGTCCCTGCCCGTGGCAGGGGTTGGAGCTGGATGATGTTAAGGTCCCTTCCAACCCAAACCAGTCTGGGATTCTGTGAACCTGTTACATCTTCTACCTCTCAGGCAGGAAGGAGCTTAGGGCAAGAACAGTGTGGCCTCAGGGCAGAGTGAGACATCTTGGACTGGATTTACAAATTCTCCCTGAATTTGAGCATGGCAGATCCCTGTGTGTGCCTCCGTTTCCCCACTGAACACAGGTTGCTGATCCTTAGCACCATGGCTGCGTCACCCCTCAGCACAGCTGCCAGTGTCCGACAAAGCCATGTCCCATCTTTCAGGAGCTGAAGCACCAGACAGAGGTGACACTGAACATTGTGCACTGTCCCCCTGTCACCACAGCTGTCATCCGGCGCCCTGACTCCAAGTACCAGCTGGGCTTCTGTGTTGAGAACGGTGTGGTGAGTTCTTGGAGTGTGCCAAGGGCTCCAGTCACTCTTCTGCAGGAGCCACGCGGTTCTGGCTGTGTCCACACTGTTCCAGTGCTCCTCAGGCTTCCACAGGGAAAGAACCATTGCTTGTGCTACAGGAGAAGGCTTCTGAGAGCTCTCCTGCAGCATCGGGGGTTGGATCTGTCACCCTGGTGCTCCTTTGCTGTTTGCTTTCAGGGTGGTGCTTTCTTTCTGGCTTTCGTGGCATGTCCTTAGGGACATTGTTGCTCTTGCCCGTGTTCCAGCTGCTCCCTGCTCTTGAGGCTGTGTTGGAAAAGCAGAGGAGCATTTCCAGGGCCAGTGGAAGCTGATGGGCAAGTGGAGGGTGTGGAATCGCTGCAGCCCACTAGCTGCTGCCCCAGGAAGGAGCTCTGACTGCAGCCCAGATGGGAGCACAAGGGTTTG